GTCTTCATCAAAGGGAAGGAAAATTATGAAATTAGAAGTCGCGTAATAAAAATCAAGCAATAAGCATGATAGGTCAGTTTTTTATATCTATCTATTTATGTTTTCATCTCTCTCTATGTTCATATCTATCTATCTATCTATCTATCTATCTATCTATCTATCTATCTATCTATCTATCTATCTATCTATCTATGTTTTCATCTCTCTCTCTCTATCTATCTATCTATCTATCTATCTATCTATGTTTTCATCTCTCTCTATCTTCTCTCTATCTATCTATCTATCTATCTATCTATCTATCTATCTATCTATCTATCTATGTTTTCATCTCTCTCTATCTATCTATCTATCTATCTATCTATCTATCTATCTATCTATCTATGTTTTCATCTCTCTCTCTCTCTCTGTCTATCTATCTATCTATGTTTTCATCTCTCTCTCTCTATCTTTTCATCTTTCTCTATTCATATCTATCTATCTATCTATCTATCTATCTATCTATCTATGTATGTATCTATCTTTTCATCTTTCTCTATGTTCATATCTATCTGTTTTCATCCCTCTCTATGTTCATATCTATCTATCTATCTATCTATCTATCTATCTATCTATCTATCTATCTATGTTTTCATCTCTCTCTCTCTCTCTCTCTCTCTATCTATCTATCTTTTCATCTTTCTCTATGTTCATATCTATCTATCTATCTAGCCATCTATCTATCTATCTTTTCATCTCTATGTTCATATCTATCTATTTATCTAATGTTTATATCTATCCATCTCATGCTCATATTCATCTATGGTAAATAAAACCGTTGTTTGAAGAGGTATCGTTGATAAAACTGCGTCATAAGAAAAATGAATTTCAGTTCAACTAAACCTACATTGGCGAGACGGAACGAGATTCACATTAATCATATGAAAGCTACATTTTATTTGGCTTTTACAGGAATGTTTTTATTTAGATTTTACTAATTTCAGCTCAGGTTAAATGCTATCTATCTATCTATCTATCTATCTATCTATCTATCTATCTATCTATCTATCTATCTATCTATCTATGTTTTCATCTCTCTCTATGTTCATATCTATCTATCTATCTATCTATCTATCTATCTATCTATCTAGCTAGCTAGCTAGCTAGCTAGCTATGTTTTCATCTCTCTATGTTCATATCTATCTATCTATCTATCTATCTATCTATCTATCTATCTATGTTTTCATATCTATCTATCTATCTATCTATCTATCTATCTATCTATCTATCTATCTATCTATCTATGTAGTATATATGTATTTAAACAAATCGGACAAGAACTACAAAATGGCGATCACATCAAATTTGAAAACTTACTAATAATCCTAGTACTCAGTTCAAAGTGAAAATCTATAAAGTAATCACGGCTAACAATGCGGATCAAGACAATGTAAAACTTACCAAAATAATAACACTTACGGTTCTATCAAAACACACAAACATGACATTCACTCCGCCCTTTTATATCCCAAATTCCAACTTCTATCTACTAACTAAAACGCCTAACTAATTACACCATACACACCTAACAAATACAGCATTAGATCAACCATATAACTTATACAAATATCAAAAACCTAATAATGTAACCATAGCATCACCTGACGTTGAAAATATGTTCACTAACGTTCCGGTTAGAGAATCCATTGACATTATTATTAAAAATATCTATAATAATTAATCTCTGTCCCTATTAAAAATTAAACCTAAAACACCAAGAAAATTACTTGTAAGCTGTACTACTGAAGTTCCATTCTATGATTACAGAAATAACGTATATATGCAACGTGATGGCATTTCTATGGGTTCACTTCTGGGTCCAACATTCAGCAACATCTACATGGTCAACCTAGAAAATAATAGATTTAGCGCCACCAAGAAACCCGCTATCTACCTAAGATATGGAGATGATATACTTATTTTAGTTAAAACATAGAAGAAATACTGTAACCCCCCCCCAAGAAAAAAACAAACTCTGTCCTCAAGTTCACATACGAACTTAACAACGATAGCAAAATACCTTTCCTTGACATTTTAATAGACACAAATAACACATTTACCTCCTCGCCATATAAAAAAAATCAACTAATAAAAACACTTGCACTCTTAACTGTAAGAGTAAATGTCTTAATTACTACAAAATAGCACTTATACAGAATTAAATTAAACACAAATTAATTCCTCCACAAAAAGATTTTAGTTTTTACCTTGAACTAAAAAATATTAAGCGTGATGGAGATTGAAAAGTTGGTCTTGAAATAATTTAGTAAATTTGATACATGTATGTACAATTTCATCGTAATCGCTCGAGAAATGTGGGTGTGCATAAATAGCACATACACACACACAGACATCTGTTTTATAGATATAGAATAGATAGACACATACACAGACACAAGCACGCACGCACACTCACACACGCACACATATATATATATTATATATATATATCTTTTCTATATTTATGGGAGAAGGACACTCAATATCGATAATAGAGCAATTGTCGATATAGACAGTGTGAACCTAGACATCAACACTGCACGCAGACTGGCAGCTTCATTACTTAAGTGATATTCAGACAATGTCTATATAATCGCTTAGGTGTGAAACTGTCATAATGCTATCTATCTATCTATCTATCTATCTATCTATCTATCTATCTATCTATCTCAGTCTGTTCATTATCTATCTATCTATCTATCTATCTATCTATCTATCTCAGTCTGTTCATTATCTATCTATCTATCTATATTCATATTTATCTAACTCACTCTTTTCCTATCTATACCACTCACTTAATATCTATAGTAGTCTCTTCATATCTATCTATCTATCTATCTATCTCATTTTGTTCATATTTATCTCTCAATATTTTTCTATCAATATCAGTCTCTTCATATCTATACTAATCACTTCATATCTATCTATCTATCTATCTATCTATCTATCTATCTATCTATCTATCTATCTATCTATCTCAGTCTGTTCATTATCTATCTATCTATCTATCTATCTATCTATCTATCTATCTATCTATCTATTACCAGTCTATTCATTATCTATCTATCTATCTATCTATCTATCTATCTATCTATCTATCTATCTATCTTATTCCGTTCATTATGTGTCTGCAGATTAAAAATTGCTATAAAACTAAGACAAACTTTAAGTAACTGATCTGCTGTTGTAAATAACCTCTACTTGATATAAAGAGTGTGCTCCCAGCCTACCCAGCAGAGATCCTTCAGTACGTGGGCGATCGTGGTTCTCCACAACGTCTTGTCTTTTGCAGCTCTTTATGCTGTCTTAATCCATGTTATTCACAAACCATGTCCACAAGCTCGTTAAGTAGGTTATTCGCTACTTTCATCTGTCCCTGTTCCCATGAAGATGTCCAGTTACTGTTTCCAAATACTATTTTCTCATTATGTGCCCTTAGAAATTTCAACTATCTTTTGTCAGAATCTAAGTAGAAGTATCCTTTTTGTTTCCATGGGTTTTATTTCAATCCCTGCAGGAGTTGCCATTTAATAAAATCTACTAGACACATCCAAGACAATAGAAAAACGACTAATACCAGTTTCACACAAATTTGCAATCATCAAGCATTAAAAAACCTACTACACAAGCAAACACCTTAATTCCTTTTAATTAATGAACTGACCGCATCGTGCCGCTGGGGCAATTAGTCAGGTAAAAATCTGTGCCCAAGCCCATGATTACATGTTCCAACTTCCGATTTTATGAGACGCAAACCAGATGAATATTTCATTGCCGAGCAGTAGAGGAAGTTGTAAGTGTTCATGCTATACTGTTGATGTAAAATTAAATGAAAGGAATCTGGATAGTATCAAGTTTTATGCGTAGATTATTAAAAATTCCAGTAAAACATTAGTTGTATTAAAATGTCTTATGTTAAACACGCTAGGGTGAATTGACGGTTTTTGAGTGGTTCAGGCCGACTCATAGAGGAGAAGGAAGACGCGCCCGTTGGCACAAAAAGTGAACAGCCAAAAACACAATGAACCGATTCAAATGTGAGACAGGACGCAAAACCTCCTCATATCTATCTATCTATCTATCTATCTATCTAGGAATTACGCATCTTTATATTGCCGTAAAATGAAAAGAAGTAAACTATTTTTATGCCTAAGAAGCATTCCGGTTCATTGACGTAATCATATACCATTTTCGAAAAATTCTTTGCATACACACAAACATGCGTGTATATATATATATATATATATATATATATATATATATATATATATATATATATATATATTATGAAATACCATTTATACTAAAGTCACATACTTTCTATTATTTTTATTTTTTTACATGTAAAAAAAACTATATATATATATATATATATACCCAAGTATAGGATTGGTGTATACGGAATAAATTCCCAAAACAAAAGATACTACTCTTAAAAGAGTGCTCAATACAGAGTAGAGCAATCAACACAATCATTTCATAAGACACAAGAACTGTTGAAACAAAATGGCTATTTTAGTAGTGATTTTATAACATATCTATGTTATAATTTTCAAATAAATTATATATATATATATATATATATATGTAAAGTTAGATTAGTAAATTCTTAATCTAAAACACTAACTGAATTTTGATCTTGAATTTTCATAATATAATGTTCGAAGTATGTTATTAATATTCACCAGTAAATTAAATGATTTGACAAGGTAAAATAAATATTTGTAATGTAAAATAAATCTAAAATTCTTTATTCACGCACGCACGTGTTCCAACATAAGTATTTTTATTGAAATGAATTGCTATTCATTTATAGAAATTGAAAATATTGGTCTTCTCGGTCTGTAATGCTTTTGCTGCTTCTCACCACACATTCCTTTTATTAGATTCACTTAAGGAATGGAAAATAAATACAATTTTTAAATGCTCTTGCCAATTTTCAAAGAACTACATTTCGTATTTAA